GCATATCCAATTGTTTGTGCGGAGAGTGGAAGCTGAAGCGCGCTTCAGGACATCAGTGGAAACAAATTAAATGCGCTGTCATTTTTGCTCATACAGGTAAGAATAATGCATAGTTCGGAACGATTGTGTGCACTCACAATATCAACAAAACGTTGTGCTTTTGTCAAATAAAGAAAACAAATAGGATGCGCTTGCCATCTCGGTGTTGAACAGGAGCGCTTCACAAAAATGAACCAATAACGAATATTTTCCTTACAGATGATGAATATATCTATAGAAAGCTTTAAATGACCACAAAACGAAATAATTCAAATCCAAAAAAAACTCTTTCATTATGTAATCCGCAAAGATGCATTTCTTTTCGCGTCCATGATGAGATGGCGAGTCAGGATCATAAATTTTATCTTTGCGACACTGACTCAGAAAACACTAGTTAATTAATAAATAATTCAAAAATCTTCTTTTTAGTTTCCCCCAACATATTCCTGGTAACTTTTGCGGCAAGCTTTAGCCTATTTAGCGCGCTCACGTCACGTTTCTGTGCGCCATGGTCACAAAAAAAATCATCATTTGCATGCATTTTTAAGCATTGTGGTTTAAAAACAAGTGAATTAAGCCATTGAAACGCAAACAACAGCACTACATGCGCGAGCTGTATGTTTCTGAGCGCAATTTCTGCAAGTGGGTCGGATCGAGGTCGGGTCATATTCAGGTCACGAAAACTCACCATTTCTGCAATTGGGTCGGATCGAGGTCGGGTCATATTCACACCTTAAACGAACCGTACCAGAGTTAGTTTGGAAGCGGACCGAGACCACCTCTTCAGCTGGGTCTTGGTACGGTTGTTTGGTCCGCACCCGAGTGCGATTGCTGTATTCACACCTGCCAAAAATGTCCGCAACAAGAGGGGAAACGAACTTGAGTTTCAATCGAACCAAACAAGACAGGTGTGAATACACCCTTAAATAGCCTAATTAACAGATTAACAAATGAAAGGAAAAGACTGAGAGATATGCTGCTGGTTCATAGGCTAACATTATTTGTGTGGCGTGGCGCTCTACGAAAGTTCACAGAAAGGAAACCGAGATGACAGAAATAAAAGTAAACACATTGCAGTTTTGAATGATCTGTATGACCAAAAATTACGGAGTATTTTTTGTTGTTTGTTTCCGCTGTTCGATCGCGCCGACGCCTCACGCACACACATAGGCCTACAGCATTGCAAACGTTGCAGCCTGTTCATTATCAGAATAAAATAGTCAACCAAACCAGATTTTCATAGATACACTGGTTAATTTAAATAGTGCGTACTGCGTAGTTACAATCCGTGCCGTTCAGCCTGAAGGTAGGCTGCGCGAGAACGCTATTTGCTTTCAGTTTCGCATTGAATTAGCCTAACTAGTTTTGGCTTGTTTAGCAACTTATATTTTTCATTCTTGTTTTTTTCTGAAACCGTTCAAAATAGCCTATAGGCTAGGTATTGTGCTTATTGTTTGTACATTATAAAATTTCGCTTTATTTGCTTGTGTTATCTTTATTTACTGGTGTTATTTATTATTATTATGAATGTAATAATGCGGTTTGTGCTTATCTGTGTTTAATGTAGACCTACATACCGGTATCTAAATATGATTTTATAATTTTATGCCATATAGACCCATCACATTACCCTCCACTGGATGTAGAATGAGCAGCATTAAACTACATTTTGGCATTTTATAATACTATTGTGGATATTTTGGTGAAAGTAACTCAAAAGTAGTGTAACGCATTACAATTCAGAGACAGTAATATTGTAATGTAACTAATTACTTTCAAAAGACAGTAACTAGTAATATATAATGCATTACATTTTGGAAGTAACTTGCCCAACACAACCATGACTTCATTAGATATTAATAATGAACAATTTTATTCCAATATTAGGGTAGTAGGGATGCATAATATTATCGGAACGTTATCAGAATCAGCCGATAATGGCTTAAAATGTAAATATCGGCATTGGACCAATATTAAAAATTACACCGATATGCCTTGGCGATAAGATGAATAACTCACATGTGCTCAGTGTGTGCTCGGGATAAGATCACGTCAGCATTGTGGCCATTCTTGAATCAAACTTTTTCCAGAATGATGATTAGATTCAATGTTTTGGATCACTGCATTTAATTTGAGAATACACTTACAGAATGACACGTCCTTTGTACGATAGAGTTTGTGCTTTTATGATTTATATGAGAGATAAATGAGTATGAAATAAGTATGAATAAATATATTTATTAAGCATTTATAATGTGAGTTAAAATTGCTCATTATTTGGCAGGTATTGCATTAAAATCACCATTTTTATTCATGCATTTATAACTGCTTCTCAATGATTTATAATGCATTTGTAAATGAGTTATTAGTCATTTATGAACACCTTTATAAACCCTTTATAAAGGGAACCTTAATGTATAGTGTTACCACGGTTTTAACAGTTTTAGTTTTTTTTTTTATTTAAAGCTTGACAGTCCCACTCCTCATTCACTTTCATATGTCGAAGAGGAACTTGGACATTCTTTTTAAAAATAATTTCTGTGTGTTGTACAGAAGTAAGAAATTCATATAGGTTTGGTATGTCATTAAGAAAAAGCGATACAGTTTTGAAATGACATGAGGATGACTATATGATGGCAGAATTTTGAACTAATCCTTTAAATCACTCTGCTATCCATTGTACTGCACATGCTCTTTATATTTGTGAATCTTGTGGTGATTTGTCCCTTTGTGTGAATAAGATTGAGTGCACTCAAACCAACTTACAGGTCACAGAGCACAGTCAGTGTGATTGTTAGTAACCTCAGCAGGAGCTTGTGTTGTCCAGATCCTTCACCTCTCAGTACACACTCACAAATGAACACCTTAGACAGCCTTGAGGTGTGAGAAATTAGAGTCTTCATGCGTGAATGCCATAAGTTTTCCAATCTGATATGATCCTTTCTCTCACTCTGTTCTCTATCCTCTTTAATGAGCTGTTCTATAATAAGTTCATCTGAAGGAAAGGTTGCTGTAATGATGTCTCTCCTCTGCCCACATGCTGGCTTCCAGAGATCAGCCCTGATCAGAGGAGAGGAGAAGATGAAAATGAGTGTTAACCTCACAAACATTCTAAAGACACCCCTGGTCTTGTCTCTTCTCAGAACAACTCTTCATCATCCTCTTTCTCATGTGGGTTCGGAGCTTGATCCCTGAAGCTGTTAGAACTTAGTTTAGTTTAGCGTTCTCACAGACTAAGAGGCTGCCTGTGTGTGAATGTTTGCAAGCTTTTCTAGTGGTTTTTGCTGCACATTAGAGAATAGGGTAAACTTTCTTTCATAATTTAAGCTAGTGTTATGATATTAGCCTGATATTTGGAAAAGACAAAGATGTACAGTTCTTTGTTGCAAACTTGCAATGCAACAGAAATATTTTCGTTCATTTGCAGACTTTCATATAACTTACCTTTATGTATGTGTTGACTTGAGTCAAACCTTTAACACATGAAAAAAGGTAACATGCATTTTTCAACTACACAGTTTTCAAGTTTTTTAATGTTTTTGAAAGAAGGCTCTTATGCTCACCAAGACTCCAGTCTTTAATGTCATGTTATCCTTCAGAAATCATTCTAATATGCTGATTTGGTGCTCAAGTAACATTTCTTATTATTAATGTTGAAAACAGTTGAGCTGCTTAATATTTTTGTGGAAACTATATTAGATTTTTTTTTTTTCCAGAATCATTTGATGAATATAAAGTTAAAAAGAACAGCATTTATTTGAAACAGATTTTTTATAACAATGTAAGTTTTTACTGTCAATTTTGATAAATTTAATGCATTCTCACTAAATAAAATCCATTTATCAGTTAAGCATCATAGAATGTAATAGTGTTTCTTGCAGTTATCGTTACCAAGAAAATCTAGCTTTTCTCTATCGAGATCTGGCTCTGTGTAGGTTGAAGACCTCGGTTTTATAAGTCTAAAAGTCCTAAACTGAACCATTTTTTTCTTCTTTTTTATGTTTTGTATATATAACAGGGTGGCAGCGGGTCCTTAAACAGTCTTAAAATGTCTTAAATAAAGTTTTCCTAAAATAAGACCTTAAAAAGTCTTAAAATATCTTAAATTTAGATTCAGTAGGTCTTAAATATTTTTGGTCACATTACCACAAAAATTTCTCCAGTCTAACGGACCCAGTGAGTGTCCATCAAGAGTACTTTTTTCCCCGCCTGTAGTTACCGCGTTATCAGAGAGAATTGCGGTTACAGAATACAGTCGAACACCAGCTCGCTGTCCAGCCTCCGAACTACTTTAAATGGGTTCATGCAAGTTTACTGAAAATGGCTTGAGAATTGTACTTGCCCGACAGGACTAATAGCCTGATTAAAACTTAAGTGACAAAATATAATCACGCATCAAAACGCGCGAATGATTCTTCTGATTTTATTACATTCAGCTTAAACAGCGATTGATAATTGATAGTGTATTTCTATTATCAATGTCGCGCTGTTGAGGCTTGTGCTGCCTGTCTCTGTGTGAGACTTTCATGGAGAAATCAAATCAAATGAGCGTACGGCACACATAAAGAAACTCACAGAACAAACATACTGAGGTAAAAATTCAAAATGTTTAGTTTATTTATAGCATGATATAGTCAAGTAACATACCATGACAAGGGATCTATTTTGCTGAATATTTTCAGGATTGCAAATGTTACATTGATTTTAGTTCAACAAACAAAGTAGTAAAGTATATGAAGTTACTTACATTTTTAGGCACAATTGACTGTTTTGTTCTATTTCACCAACGAAAATAGTTCCAAACAAAGATCAGAACAGAATTATTGCGCACATTCTCCAAGCCACACCAGGCATTTTTGTTACTGAATGATTCAGAGGTTTGAATGAATAAGTGACTTACCGCCACCTACTAGCGGTTTAGTCTCATGCTTAAAAGTATACATTTTTCCCCAACATTTCTTATTTGTATGTTCAAACTTTTATTTACAACATTAATCCCATAACATTATTTATTGCTGTTGTAATTTTGTAATTATTTAATTTGATTGGTAACAGCCCTGTAGTGTATTAAATTTCTTGATCAATTGTAAGAATTTGACTTGAAAGATGAAGCAATCATTTAATAAGGTAAAAAAATATATTGGCCTTTATAAAGGTAAATGACATCCTGTGGTAAATATTAAAAACATGCAGATTTAAGTGTGTAAAAGCTGACAGAAAACTGATGAAAATATTGCTTCAGAATAAATTGTTTACACCACCAAAAATCTCGGTGATGCGACACTTTTGTTTTGTGGGAATATTTTGTATGTTTTGTCTGCTGATATGAAAAACTCACTGTATATCGTAATAACACATAGAATTTTTGACAGCGATGATATTTTGTTTTCTTTTTACATTTAAATCGTTAAATATTACATATACGTATGTAATATAATATGTATTTCCATCACACGCTTGGTCTTAAATTTCACATAAGGTGGTATTAAAAAGGTCTTAAAAAGTCTTAAATGTAACTTGTTGATATCTGTAGACACCCTGTATAAAGACACCCATGAGGAAGTGATTTAGAGATATATTTTTCTATCTATATGTGCATTCTGATCAGGAAGTACTCATTGTTCCATTTACATTAAAGCCTAGTGTCTGTTTCTGACCATAAATTCAGTTTTAGAGCTGTGCACAGACATGTAAACATACTAGGGATTGCACAATGTCTAATATAGGTCTTTCCAAAAAATTAGAATTTCGAATATTCGTCGAATTTAAAATAAAAATCCACATTCAAATGCAAAAACGTTGCATTCGAATTTTAGGTGTGCATCAGGCAGCCTTATCAGTGGTGCACGAAATGCGACGACGATGAAATTGTCATTGCATTTTAATGCTTTTGTTAGCCTGTCCAGTTGAACCCACTAGATGCGGCGCTGCTGCGTTGTTCATTCAAAATATTGCGGAAAAAAGAGAACATGAATGCGGAGATGATGTTGTTTACGTCAAAACCGAAACCAAGCCGTTCACACAGAACACATATTTATCACTCGCTTGCACTCACGTCTCGCACAAGAGAGCCGCATGTTTAGAAAGCCATGTCAAATTAATGTAAGTTTTGTGGCCTCAGGAGAGAAGCCAAAAAATGTTTCCCCCCCAAACTGAAATTATGCCTTTTTAAATTCGAATATAATTTGAATATTGATAATATTTAAGTACAAAATTCGAATTTAGTTTTCAGCCATTTTGACAGCCCTAGTCTAATATTTACTAGTCGACTAGCTGTCCAGAAAAGTAGTCAGCTAGTTGACGTGTCCCTATTCACCTTATGTAAATAACTCTCCATATGCTGTGCACCATCAGTGGCCTTTGTTGTTTCTGGCAAGTCCAGCACTGTGTTCACAGAGACTTTGTGATTGGAGAGAATCACACAGATGAGCCGAAAGCACACATATCCCCATTGCCAGATTCATGCTGGTTGCATTGTCATGTCAGTGCTAAAACAGTCTTGCCCCATTCGCTTGTGTCTCTCAGTATTAGGGAGGTTTGCAACAATTTTGTATGTGAACTCCATATCAGATTGTTTGGGAGAAAGCAAAACTTTTATTTAAAAATGTAAAAATTTTATTTTCAGTTTTCCATAATTCCAACTGTATTAGGCTGAAGTCATGTGATCCTCAATTAGCTGAAAGACCAAAAAAGTGGACTAGTGGCATGACTACATGAGTAGTCGGTGCAGCACTGAAAACATACATGCAGGAGACTTCATTCTAGCCCACAGGTGTGGGAACCTATTTGGCCTCAGGACAGTATTCCTGATCTGTGACTAAGACTGTGTGCAGTGTGTGTGTCAAGCCCTTGGTCTTTGCCAGGTCGACTGGAATAGGAACCCTCTGAGTTAGAGTCTACTTTCAGTGTCTCACATTTGAAACAGATCAAGGTTTCCGTCCTCCCACAGGAATCAAAATCCGATGTCCTTATTTATATTGCGACTTTCAAAAGACCCTAAACATTTGTTATTTTTATCACCTGAATTATTTAGTGGTCATCTGAGAAATGTGAAAGCGTGAGAGTAACAGGCATAGTGAGAGAGAGATTTTGGAAATGGTAATCCCACCATCAAACTGTTTTCATTGGTTTGCTAGCACCAGCTGCTGTTGTTGGATAAGAAACTTGAATTACTCATAAAAGAAATATGTAAAGACAAGTTTTACACATTTTACAGGAAACAGTTGGGAAACAGGAAACTAGTGCTGCCAAATTGAACATATTAACTTTTTTTCAGATGAATCTTTTTTTTAAACTTCATTAGATTTATTACAACCCATTTACCTAATTTGACTGTTTAATTCAGTTTAATCTGATTCCTGAAGACTGGTCAGAAGAAAAAAGCAGCACATTTTATGTTCAAACAATCCTATAGCTGTGCTCTAATTTATCAGTAAATTATAGAGAAAAATACTTTTATCTTCTAATTTATTTATAATCCAAATTAGATTAGTTTACATAAGTGCAGTAATTTTAAGATTTTTTTTTTATTGCAGGCTTTATTTTGTTATTGTGATAAAAATTCATTTTAATAGAAACAACTGAAAATTAATGTTTCACCTTCTATTTTTTTATAGGGATTTTGAAGGAATTAATTATTCAATCTCATGATTACTTTTGTAGTTTACCAGAGTTACATAAATAAAACATCTTTCTTACATTTTATTTGTATTCCATAACAAAGAAAATAAAACTAAATGCTAAACACTTTGTATTTAGAGGCACCAAATTAACTCACCAAATTAAGCATTCAAGATTGTGTAAACTACAGAAGTTTATGGTGATAATTATATTATTTATATTACTTTAGTTTAAATGAATTGATAACTGCTTTAGAACTGTAAGCTCACATTACACTGAAAAAAAATTGGTGAACAATTTTCACTCAGAAATTGTTAGTAAATTTAAAAAACAATTACAAAACAACTGCAAGAAACACGCTGAATTTTGACATTTTGAAGTACAAAAAAGTATATATAGTATTTTCCTGTATCGCATCCTCCAATAATCTGTTTTATTTACAACTTCCGAAAATCCGGAATTTTTTCTTTTTACAATGTTAGGGCGGTTAAGAGTGGTTTTGGTTGAACTAAGTGCAATGGTGAGCTAATGACAGGTAGGTAGTAGCCTTCAGGTCACCTGAGTTTGTGTGTATGTGTGTGTGCACCAAGTGATCAAAAATATCATCCCCAAACACATGCTTCATCACACCTCTCCCTGGCACCAGTCTAATAAACCAGTGTGATGTCTGGGTCTGCATAATGCCAGGCTTTGCCAGTCTGTCTGGCTTTTCTCATGCCACACTAACACCGTTTACTAAGACCAGTCGAACGCTGACGTGATAATTCATTGGCTTTAGCTTTCAGGCCAGACAATGCTACTATGCATAATGTGTGTGTTTGTGTGTATATTATTTGCAAAGGAGGTCAAAGCCTCATGGTCTAAAAATGCCTTGCCATCTTTCAGTATTGCAGAACAGACAGATGTCTAAACCTAATTTCAGCTAAATCAATTGAATTAGGGGTTTTGGCCACAGGAGGACCAAGTGCCACTGGGTCCTCCTTTGAGGTTTGGCTCCAGCAGGGTCATATTCTCTGTTAGAAACTCGTCCCTCGCTGTTCTGAATGCTCTACTTTCCCCAGATCAAAGTCAGGCATGCCATCTATTGCAGAAATAACACCATTTTATTGTAGATAATGGGTAATAATGTTTGAATATTGAATGTGAGCGTGAATGAGGGAAAATACACCGAATAAGAGACAGTAAAACCCATGACAATGTACAATATAACTTATGAATTAAGAGGACAAGGACACAGCTGGCTGTCTAGAAAGAACACTCTGCACTCCAATACAATTTTGGATGATACATCTGCACTTACTGCTGTAATTCACTGAATGTGATGATTAAAACACCCTCTTCATCACAAAAAATGCATCTTCCACCGGTTTCTCAATAGCACAAAATGAAGATAAATTACCCACATCCCTGGTAGACAATAGCTATTTGGTTATTCTGGCTACAGCAAATGTAGCAATTTGATGTAACTTTTACTTTTAGTGAAATTATTAATCATTCATCACTTCTATTTATCATTTGACATTTAGAAGCCACTCAGCATGTGGCATTTGACATGCGTAGTTATGAATGTAAACCAATTAAAAGGTTTTAGAAAATTGTGTGCTTTTAATTTTACTGTAAGTCTCAGTGATATCATTCTTACTGACAATGCAAATCTGAAGTATTTATCACGAGAATGCATGTGTCATCCAGATATAGGTATGCTTTTTCGCATAATTTACATAATGTACTGGACAACCTTAAAAAAATGGTTAAACACTTTTTTGACTGACTGCCACATCGGGTCAAATCAATTACTGTTAAATGTAATTGTTATATCAAACAGACTTCTGTTATCGTTTTATAGAAGAAAATTATATTTATATATATAATTAGCGTTATTGTTTTAACGCCCAGCCCTACTATCTGTACGTGTTTGAACATCACTGTGTTTGCTGTCTATCTCCTCTCACTCTCTCTTCTTTAGGGATGGGCATTTTTAAAAAACATCTTTCAAACTCAAGCAGAGCAAATGGAAAAAATAAAACAGACCGTGCCAATTACAGTACAGAATGTACACACACTCGAGTGTGTAGAATAATATCCACATGCTTGGGTGAAAGTTGGCTCCTCAGTCTGATAACAATAAGAACGCGCGCCGGCACAGAACTTCCAGAGACACAAAGATAACGGTGTGCTAAGTTTCTTGCTTCGTGTTTTCTCTTCTTAAACCACTCTCCCTCAAGGAAACTTAAAGGAAGCATATGTCTCAAGATAATTTCGGTATCAGATAAGCTGTCTTCTTGGCTCACTCGGGGTACAGCTGCGCTTACCTGCAGTCGTGAATGCAGTGATGGACAGTCTTTCCTCAGTCGACTGGTGTTTGGATTTCATGTGGTGGTGATATTATGGTAACTCAGTTTCACTGATTCATTTGATCAAAAGTAATTCAATTTTGTAAAATCGTCTAGTAAGATCATTTTGATCAAAGTAATTCCAAACTTCGCGAGGCAGATAATGATATGCCTGCTGACCGGAGTTCGGTTCATCCAGCCAGGGGGAAGTGCTCCAACACACACACACACACACATATGAACTAGATGCTCTCTAACATGTCTTGTGTTATGTGTGTAGGATTATCCACGAGGATGGTTTCTCTGGTGATGATGTGAAGCAGTACAAGCCAGTGGTCTACAGCAACACCATCCAGTCTCTGGCTGCTATCGTGCGTGCCATGGACACACTGGGGCTGGAGTACGGAGACAAGGAGCGTAAAGTGAGTACAGCGCAAACCCTGAAAAGCTTGAATGCTTATTAAAGAGTGACATTCACATTGTGATTATAACCTTATGGATGGTAATTATAACACTTAAGGTCAGCTGTAAATATACTTACTTTAAAACAGGACCCAAGAAATATATATGCAAGACAAATATAAACAGTTCTGTGTAAGATGATTCAGGAGAATTGGATAACAAGGGTCAATGACAGTGACACGTATTCTTAGCTTCACAGTTCCTGTGGCTACATTTATGATCTGTAATGAATTGTACTCAATAAGAAAGTTGTACATTTTTTTTTAAAGAATTACACTATTTATAGAAATATTGGCGGTTCAGTACAAGATAAGCTCCTTTCATTTTCTTAAAAAAAATTAAAGGATGTGGTGAGGCAATACTATAAATACCATTTAATACCATTTTATATTTAGGTTAAGAATTTAATTATAATAATAATAATTCATATATAATTATAAATAATAAATAATATAATATAACAATTATTCTGTTCAAATTTATTGTATTATGTGAGCTGTACGGTTTTATGGTTTTTTTCAGGTTTATGGTGTTGGGCTGACAAATGTCAACAAAGTTGTACAACTGGATATAGCTTTACATAGAAAAGGTTAATAATTCAGTTTGTTTTTTTCCACACTACAGTCATGTTAATACATATTGTTTACACCTTTGGCTACACTGTTGAAACACTGAGCATTTTAATATTTACAGAGTAGCCCCTTTCTCTTCCATTTTAAGTGCCTCAATGTAAAAAAGATTTTTTTGTTGTATTAAACATTATACCACAAGCCTCAGTTGATATTAACTTATACTGAACCTGGAATGATCCTTTAATAAAAAACATCTTCTACTAAAGACATTAAAGATGCAACCAGTAATCTAATGTAAAGAGAAACAGAACCAGATGTAGTTAATGTCGATAGATTCCAGCCACAGCACATATCATTTCCCCGCCTAACACATAAGTAAAATGGCTGGGTGCTGATGGGAAGCTTCAAGTTAAGATTTCTCTGCTAATGTGTTATATCCGTGACAATATAAGACTCATAATCCCATTGTGCCCTTTCCCAAAAGCTCTCCCACTGTAATGTCACAGTGTCAGTGAATTCATTGACCTTCAGCAGGAAGCAATGTTTCATTTTAATCAAACCAAAGCTATAAGTATGAAGGGAACAGCCATCTGAAATTTTCTCTTGTGAGAAATAGAACACGTCTTAATTTCCAGGTTGAGTTACGTCTCAGGAAGCCGGCATCGAAGGGCATCCGATCTATGTACCTAATAAGAGAGGTTATAAACAGCAGTGTGTGGCTTAATGTGTTTGAATGTGACTGCTGGGCCTAAATGGAATCTGCAGACTTTATTTGCATTTTGTGCTGGATTTTTTGGGCTGGGGGGCACAATTTGGCATAATTCTGACTTAAATGGATAAAGAACTATTACAGGTAATGAAATATTTCTGTTTAGTACTAGTTAAGCTTAGTCAAAAGCATTTGTGACACAAGGTTTGTTACCACAATAAAGTCATTTAGACTCACCTCTCATTTTCTTAAAGCAAAACCCAGTGTTACAGTGAGGAACTTACAATGGAAGGTCACTGCATTTAATTTTAATTAAGCTTAACATTTTATAAAAGCACTTACATTAATTCTTCTGTTAAAACTTTAAATCTGGTTAAATCATAATTTTACAGTAATTTTAGGGTTTGCGGCATTGTTGTCATAGCAACAAAGCCGGAAAATGGGAAATTTTCCACAGAAAATCTTAGTAAGCAATTTTATGTATTGTGGCTATACTGTTGAAACAGTTTTTTACAGATTGCCCTCCTTTCACATCATTTGTAAGTGTGTCACTATAAATCAAATTTTATTTTTAAAGGAAAGTAATGAAATTCATTTTTGTGGTAATGAAATGCTGTGAATTGATTTTAACTGGTATTGAACCAGAAATATACCTCTCAGCCCTGAGATTACTGCACTCTTATTGACAGCTGAAATTATAGTAAAATTAGCCAGAATACTCCATAAAAGAGCAAGTAATGGACACTCAAATTTGCTAAAATGCTGCATAGATTTTGCATAGAGTTCTGTGTTAACCAATTCCATGTGGGTTGAGTTACGTTTATTGTCAATGGAGAAATTGATCAGAATATGTGAGGAACTATATACAGAATGTGATATGTACCAAAACTTCCATGTTTTTAGAGAGGAACTTACATGATGCTTGCACACACAATTCTTTATGTATGCATGCATAAATGACTAAATGTAGATGCATATAGTATGTATACGCTTATCCTGAGAACAGATCACTCACACGCATCCACACAAACTCCTCAGCCCTCTGTTCCTTCAGGCTGTGGAGGCCAGCTGGCTCACACCTTTTTAATCTGAGGTGTGAAGCTTTTATTGGAACTGCTTTCTCAACAACCTAGCCTCTATAGATCTGTTAGCCCGTTCTTTCTATCTCACTCTCTGTTTCTTGGTTTTATACCCTCTCAGCTTCCCGCTTTCCCTCTCTTTCCGTTTTTTTTTTATGCACAGCTCCCTCTCCTCTATATCTTTCTCCCCTATCTTATCTTCTCTCTCACCAATCTGGCCTTGTTGTCATGGCGACCTCTTGTTTTGCCTCTCTTGCAACGCATTCCACAAGTCTGTGTCCATGGACAATGTCACTCGCATGCACTCTGCCCAGCACCAAAGAGGCAATGATCTCATGTGACCATTCACAAGGCGTGTGTGACCAGAATGAGGAGTGGGCCACACCCCTCATAGAGTACAACTCAATAGTGCCATTCCAAAATATAGTGAACTGCCTACTACCTACATCCATCCTGATCTGCCTACTGCCTACATCCAGCT